AGCCCCCCTCGGCTCCCAAAGGGTTTTCCCGGTGCCTTTTCTGGAAAATTCTCTGGAAGCGGCGGGCGTGGATTTCTTCGCTGATTTGTTCCAAATTGCGGAGGGCGACGGAGTAGCGGAGCTTGGCCTGGGAGACGGCGGCTTCCAGGGAGGTCACGCGGGATTTGTGCTCCTAAAATGGGTAAAAAAATCGAGAATTTTTTAAAATTCTTTGAAATTAATAGGAAAGAAAAAAACCCGGCGAAAATCGCAAAAAATTTGGCGAAAATCCGTCAAAATTTGATGAAAATACGCCAAAAAAAGCCCAAATTTCACCCAAATTTCACTCAAAATGGTCTCCCAGTCCATTCCAGTTCATCCCAGTTCATTCCAGTTCGTTCCAGTCCATCCCAGTCCATTCCAGTCCATCCAAAATCCAATCCAATCGAATCCAATCCATCTTTTCCAGCGCTCCCAGTGCCCAAAATACCAAAAAAAAGCCAAAAAAAAGCCCCAAAAAAGCCGAAATTTCACTCAAATCGACCTCCCAGTACTCCCAGTTCATCCCAGCCCATTCCAGTTCCTCCAAAATCCAATCCAATCCAGCTTTTCCAGTGCTCCCAGTGCCCAAAACACCAAAAAAAAGCTCAAAAAAAGCCCAAAAAAAAGCCAAAAAAAGCCCAAAAAAAGCCCGAATTTCACCCAAATTTCGCTCAAATCGGTCTCCCAGTGCTCCCAGTGCTCCCAGTACCTCGAGTCTCTGGTTAAACTGGGCTTTGAGCTTGAAGTAGGGCCGGCTAGTGCCCAAAATACCCAAAAATGCCAAAAAAATCCAAAAAAAAAGCCAAAAAAAGCTCAAATTTTACCCAAATTTCACTCAAAGTCGTCTCCCAGTATTCCCAGTCCATTCCAGTCCATCCCAGTCCATTCCAGTCTATCCCAGTCCATTCCAATCTAATCAAAATCGAATCCAATCCAGCTTTTCCAGTGCTCCCAGTGCCCAAAACACCAAAAAAAAGCTCAAAAAAAGCCCAAAAAAGCACAAAAAAAGCCAAAAAAAATCCAAATTTCACCCAAATTTCGCTCAAATCGGTCTCCCAGTTCTCCCAGTCCATCCCAGTGCTCCCAGTACCTCGAGGCGCTGGTTAAACTGGGCTTTGAGCTCGAAGTAGGGCCGGCTGCGGGCGATGTCGCGTTTGAGCGCTTTCTGCAGCCGCTGCACYTCGGCCTCGGCCTCCTGGCACTGCCGCGTCACCCGCTGGTGCTCCCGCTCGCTCCAGAGCCGCTCCTGCTCCGCCTCGTTCACCTAAAAATGGAAAAAATCCTGAAATTTAGGGAATTCCCAAAAAAAACCCCGTGAAAATCGGTGAAAAAACGGCGAAAATCGGTGAAAAAACGACGAAAATACGATCGAAAACGGCGAAAATCTGACCAAAAATGCCCAAAACCAGTTGGGAATGGGGTAAATATCCCCCTAAAAAAGTGGGAAGGACAAATTCCCAACTTTTCCCAAATTTTAGGGAATTTCCAAAAAAAACCCTGCGAAAATCGGTGAAAAAATGGCGAAAATTGGTGAAAAAACGGCGAAAATATGACCAAAAATGACGAAAATCAGCACAAAAATGATGAAAATCCGCCCAAAAATGAGTCAGGAATCACAGAAATTCCACCCCAAAAAAATGGGAAGGACAAATTCCCAACTTTTCCCAAATTTTAGGGAATTCCCAAAAAAAACCCCACGAAAATCAGTGAAAAAATGGCGAAAATCCGACCGAAAACGGTGAAAATTGGATGGAAAACCTTCTCTGATCGATCCCAAACCTTTTCCCATTGATCCCAAACCTTTCCTGTTTGATCCCAACCCTAAATGACCCAAATGCCCCAAATCCTGACCCCAAATACCCAAAATCCTGACCCCAAATGTCCCAAATCCTGACCCCAAATGTCCCAAATCCTGACCCCAAATTCCCCAAATTTCCCAAATACCCCAAATCCTGACCCTAAATGACCCAAATCCTGACCCCAAATACCCAAAATCCTGACCCCAAATCCTGACCCCAAATTTCCCAAATGCCCCAAAATCCTGACCCTAAATGTCCCAAATCCTGACCCCAAATGCCCCAAATCCCGGCCCTAAATGTCCCAAATCCGCCCCAAACCTTTTCCAATCAATCCCGAATTTTTTTCCACTGATCCCAGTCCATCCCAGTCCATTCCCAGTCCATCCCAGTCCATCCCAGACTTTTCTGGTGCTGTGGTTGAGCATCTCCTGCCAGGTCGGGTCGAGTCGCTCCTTCCCAAATCCACCCCAAATCCCATCCCATTGATCCCAAATCCATTCCCAGTCCATCCTAATCCATTCCCAGTCCATTCCCAGTTTATCCCAGTCCATCCCAGTCCATCCCAGTCCATTCCCAGTCCCTCCCAGTTTATCCCAGTCCATCCCAGACCTTTCTGCTGGCGTGGTTCAGCATCTCCTGCCAGGTTGGGTCGAGCCACTCCTTCCCAAATCCACCCCAAATCCCATCCCATTAATCCCAAATCTTCTCCAATCAATCCCAAACCTTTTCCCATTGATCCCA